TATATATATATATATATATATATATATATATATATATATATGGTACTCGTCAGCAGTTTTCAACATCACTGAGTAGTTTATTGACTTATTAACAGATGCAAATGAGGTCGATAAGCTTCTTCAGGATTTATCAATCAATATCGCCGATTTTTTTTAATCTGAAACGTATCAAACAAGTCAGTAGATTCAAAAATATATTAATCGGAACTCCGAACACTTATAAGTATCGAACTTTGCAGCATACTAATAATTAAGACATCAGATATTCTTTTTGCAATTTTGATTTGATTGTTTGACTGAATGTCATGTACTTAGCATAAACAACTAAATGAATCGGGAAAGCTATTCGCCCCTAACCGTGTACCTTACCATACAGAAATGACCGTCATTTATTGACATTTCTAAATAACTGCAGTAGCGCCCCAATTTCTTTAGTGCTCCTCGCCATATTTGATTTTTTTAAATGCCAAGGCTAAAAGCCGAATAGCAAATGCTAGAGATACATAATGGTAAATGGTACACGTAAGTAACATTCTGAAACAATTTTACATCTTTGTATAACATTGAGAATACATTATAAATTCAATTTAAAGAATATAGAAAAAAAAAAATATAGTGGCAATTTGTATAGCTCAGTTTGGTAATTTAAACTAGGTTCTCGTATCGACGAAAATTTATCATTGTTTATATTGGATATTTGTTTAACACGTTTGCTTTTCTAACTCCAGATGTTTAAGGAATTCAAAAGCTTTTATTTTGAAGGTCTCAAGACTCAGTGCGTTTATGATATCAGCTGGTAGGTCACGCCAGAGACGAATCGCAGTTACGGTGAATGAGTTCTCAAATGAATTTGTTGAAAAATTTGGGATTTTAAAAATCACATTATTGTATTTTGTAGCCAGTCTATCGGATCGTCTGATCAGGAGATTCATCAATAAAAAGGTCTCTCAGTAACTTTGGTTCCCCAGAGTTTATGAGCTTGTAGAAGAAACAAGCAAGATTGTAGGACCTTTTAGATTTAATTGTCAGCCAGTTTAAAGAGCATCTATATGGTGTAATATGCTCATCTCGTTTTAGATTAAAGATGAATCTGACTGCATTGTTCATTAAACATTGTAGTTTATAATCCAATCTTTTAGATGAATCAATCAAGACAAGAGAACAGTATTCAATATTAGGAATGACAGTAGCAGTGATTAAGATTTTTCTTGTAGAAGAAGATAGAATGCTTTTCCTGTGTTTCAGATTTTTTAGAGTGGCATATACTTTTCTAGTAATCTGAGCAATATGGACATCCCAGGAGAGATTATTTGACAAATGAACGCCTAGATGTTTAGCTGAACTTACGTATGGAATTATTTTACCATCAATCACTATTTGTGGTAGTCCACTGTTTTCAAGGACTTTTAATTTCATACTGTTTCCCAGTACCATAACCTTCGTTTTTTCAAAATTTATCACTAGTCCAACCTCCTTTGCCCAATCTACTACCGCTTGTGCCTCCGTAGTTATCATGTTTGCTGCTTCCCTTATATGAGATATTTTAAAATGATAATATGTATAGATGTCATCAGCATAGAGACCATATTTAGCATATTTGAACCGTTTAGCAACTTCATTTATAACAATTAAGAAGAGAATAGGACCAAGAATGGAACCCTGCGGAACACCAGATGTAGTATTTATGACGTCAGATGGGGAGCAATCTGGGTCCAGCACAGCTTGTGATCTACCAGTGAGATATGAAAGAAACCAAATGATTACTTCAATTGAAAAGCCTATTTCATACATTGTAGTGTATACGACCGCGGGATTTACAAGGTCGAAAGCTTTTGAAAAATCAAATAGTATCATATAAGTGAGCTCTTCATGATCAATTGCTTTACGAATATCGTCAGTTAGTAACAGTAGAGCCGCCTGGGTACTGTGATGTTTTCTAAAACCAGACTGATGTGTATCCAGAATATCATTAGTCTCAAGATAGTCCATAATTTGATTTGCAACAATACGCTCAAATACTTTGGCAAGATGAGATATGTTGGCAATGGGTCTGGTGTCTGACATGGATTTTGGAGGATTTATTTTATTGTGAGGTATTATGAAAACTAATTTCCAGGCATCAGGAAAAATCCCAGTATCAAGTGAGCGATTTAGGATATTCATCAGAAAGATTGATATCTGCGGTATGTGATCTTTAAGCCATTTAAGGTCCAGACCATCTGGACTTCTCCCTTTGGATTTCTGTAGAGTAAGTTTAAGATTTTTGGTGACCTCAACGATATCAACATTTGACCAGTTGAAGATACTGTCCACTTTCCTCACAGTGTGTGAAGGTAATCCTTTGATAAAGTCAAGAGTGCAAGAAGGATGTTTCCTCAGAATATTAGCATAGTAGCAGTTTAATTCATTTGCATTGAGATGATCTAATGGAGAGGATTTCTTAGATTTAAGAAACCCTACTCGTTTTAAATTAGACCAGATATTTGAATTTTGAGAGGGATTTTCCAGTAGAGATTTGAAATAGGTATCCCTAGCTGTGTTTAATTTATTCTTGAGATCCTTTCTCATCTTTTTGTATAAAATCATTAAATTTGTGTCTCTGGTACGTCGCGCTCGTTTATACAGTATATCACGTTGGTGAAATTCAGTTCTTAACTCTTTAGTTAGCCATGGGCTACTTGGGCGGGTTAATCTTCGTGTAGTAAATGGAGCATGTGTATCTAAGGCAGAAGTAGTTGATGTGATTAGATGAGAGACCAAATAGTTTGGATCTAGATCCTCTAGATTGAGAGCAGCGATATAAAGCTTCTGTGTGAGATCAGTTGATAAGGCTATATGATCGCAACGATTAAAATTTCGAAATTTCACTGTTTTGTCGTATTTCGATGTCAATTCAAGCTTGTAATTGCACACTAGGTAGTCGTGTCCACCAATGAATGGTCTTAAAGATTTTGAGTAGTTTCCTAGTTTGTCTTTACTATCAACAATAATGACATCCAACCAAGAATGAGTCTCAGTAGTGTGAAAAGTAGCTCCATATGGTATGCAGTGTAAATTTGATTCAGCAATGAAAGATTTAAGATGATTCGCTGGCCGGTCCGATTTTAAAAGGTTACAGTTTAGATCACCCATAATGACAATATTATTATAAGTCGAGTAAAATTTGTTAAATTGTACGAAAAAATTATCTAATAGATGGCCTTGAGGTCTTCTGTATATGGCTGAGAGTAAAATGTGAACTGTCGAGGGAAGAACCACGTCAATGATCAGGTATTCAGGATGATTTATGTCCTGTGATTCAGATGAAAATAATATTTTGGTTTTTAAAGCTGCGTGAAAGAAACATGCAATACCACCTCCTCTCATATAACGACCATCTTGGTTTATTAGTCCTCGATCCCTTCGAACAATCATGTAGTCCTTAAGCGAAATATCTACACCTGGATTTAGCCATGCTTCAACTACAGTGATTATGTGAGGCTGTAGATCATTTACTAGAGCTTCAAATTCTGCTTGATGAGGTAGATAACTGTTGATATTTAAGGCTAGAATCTTTAAATTAGAATTTATGTTGGCTGTTGAGCTGTTTATTGAAAAATTTATATTATTTAATTGATTTGGTAATTGCTATTTGATTTTATTTAATTCATCCTCAGTGCGTATCAAGATTTTTGCCGAGTCATCATCTTTCTTGATGAATATATTACCTTGATAAACCCATACATATTTGTATTTTTGCTGTTTGGCTTTTGCTTTAACTTCGAGCAACAATTTATAGATATCAGGATGTAAAAATTCATTTATAAAAACCTGTTTTCCTTGATTAGTTCCAGTACAAGTGTTGAAAATATTTTTGACTAAGAGTTTCGGAGAACGACGCTTCACATCAATAATATGCTCACAGATTTCTTGAGATATGAGCTTGACAATAAAGGCGTGTGAACTCGATATATCATTTGAGCTGCCTTGTCTCTTTTTATTTTTAAATTCATGAATATTAAGAATATCGTTAGTGAGGTTTGGAATATTAAGGGGGTATTTTGGTCTAGAAATTTAAAAAATTCGAATTTTTTTTTGCATATTTCCAAATTTTAGACCCTTAAAAATATGTCCTTAAGTGGATTTTTCAAAAATCGAATTATTTTCGGAGATACAGTGGATTTTGTGACGCAGCTGCTTCTGCTTCTGCTTCTTCAATAGAAGGCAGAACAGCTCGATTAGCAGAAAGAACTTCGTAAAACGTCGAGTAGGAAGTAGAAGAAGGCCCAATTTATGGATCTGGGATTCGCGATTAATCCAAAGTGAATATTAAATATTGTGAGTCATTTTACTGAAATTGTTTCTCAAACTTTAAACGCGATTTTCTCAAAACTACTTTTTTAAAGTGGTTGACATGATATCTTAAGTTCTACCGCACCGATTCCTTTGAAATTTAGTGGGAATTTGCTTTATATATCTCTCTATCGCGTCTGCTACGGATTTCAAAAAATTTCAATTTGGAGTATTTTTAAAAAATTCAAAAAGGTCAAAAAAAAGGGTAAAAAAATTGATATTTTATGTCGACGCCATTTTGTGAATTTTTTTTTTTTTGCTATAGTCAACGCGATAGTGACATATTTACAGATTGAGAATTTGTCAATTTTTTTTGTTTTATATCACTACAAGGGCTGGAATCATGTCAACCAGAGTGCACCGTTTTTTTTGTAGCCCCCACTTCACCGGCCTGTAATTTGTCAAATTTATCATTTTTTTTTTTTCAAATTTTTTTCTATATTCTTGAAATGTCAATAAACATCATATAAAAAAACGGATTGTAAAAATGTTTTTCATTTTTTTTTTATGTTAGTTTGAAAAATGCCTAAAATTTAGGCTTCTAGACCAGAATACCCCCTTAAGAGTTTCAAAGATATTATAAATATTTTGATCTGCTGACAATTCATTTTTTACTGTATCAGGAATCCCAGAAAACAAAAGCTGAGATGAACTATGTTTGTGATCGCTGGTATGCTGAGTGAGTGTTGAAGTTGCAATTGAGTCAATTGTCGATTTAAGCAATTTTATCGATGCTGCGTTTTCGTTACATTTGATAGCATTTTTGTTTAAATCATTCGTTAGTTTTTTAATCTCATTTTGAGCCAACTCTTGTGATTTTGTGATTTCAGTGAGTGAATTGTTTACAGCATCCAAACTGGATGAGAGCTGATTTATTTTCTTGATATTTTCTTTAACATTTGTTACTAGATTTTTGATATCCGCATTATGACTATCTAGGATTTGTGATAGATTTTGTATACTGACAGTGTGACTGTCCAGGGTTTGTGACATATTTTGTACACTGACTCTGTTTTTGTAAGTCAAATCTAATAGTAAATTTAGTTTTTCATCGGAGCTGTATTTGGACCAGTCAGGCAACTTTGTTGTGACTTCAGTCATTTTCAAAGATGGCGTAGCAGTGTGAGAGACAAAGACAGAATCTTCTATAGAAGTAACTGGCGGTGTTCTGGGTGATGAATTTGCTGATTTGTAGCTGGACTTGGAAGAACAATGTCGTCTTAAATTTGAGAGACTAGATGGTCTAATAATGCTTGATCTTCCAGGTATCTCCTGTAAATTTAGAGCTGATTTTGCGGGTGAGAGTAAAGCAATAAAAGATTTGGTACAACAATTTTTTACTTTAGATTTACCAATCTCTTTTGCACAGCTGGGATGATAAACAAGCTTACAAGTGTTACAGTCTAATGATTTAGTAACCGCTCTTTTACACCTGGCACAGTTCATACCAAAACAAAACAACTGATAATTTGAGAGTTTGACAGATTGTTGTAAATAAAAACACTCAGCGGTATTCAGGTCAGTGCCACCATCTGTCGGCTGATAATGGTATGTTAACACTGAGGTGAGCTAGTAGATAGTTGTACGAAAATGGTCTAGTGTCACTCAACTGTAAAAACACATTGCCTATAGTCACGTCTTTCCAGTTGCTGTCACTAACCTTTAAATTTATAGTGAACAGCAAAATAATTCAATAATTAAGTTTATCGTGGTTGATTTTCGAAGTTTATTTGCAATCCAGAGAGATTGCAAAAAGGCGCTTGCAACTGTAACTGCAACAGAAAAGCCCGAAGGCATATAACGCAGAAAATATCCAAAAAATAAGAGCACAGAAAAAAAAGACGTGTTTCTAGTACTTACGTGACTTTAACTTGAACTTTTTATATAAAAATAAAGACTAATACAATAAAATAGTAATCTTTAAATAATAAAAGCAAATAAATAATAATAATAATTTTTAGTACTATTCTCTTTGTTAATTAACTATTAACTACTCACTATGTTGAAAAAAAATTTTTTATTATTTTTCCTTTGGCAGAACTTCATTCCCCCTTGGAAGAACCATGTACTCGTCTTTTATTACTTTTCAACTTTTTCTTTTCATTTCCACGCCATCACTTTTTAACTTTTTATTTTCCCGAGATTTTTTTATCTCCGTGCTCAACCTCTATTAACATGGCTCTTTGTCTTCCAATTTCTTTTCTAGTCGTAGCATCTCCAAAATAAGAAAGTCCAAGTAAAGAATAAATAATAAAAAAAAAAAAAAAATAACATTCAAATTACTCACTGGGTATCTTTTTAGAGTTATAAAAATTTTTTATTAATCTACTGTAGAATAATAAATAATAATCAGAGTTAGACTTGCTGTCGCGATAAAATACATTCAATAAATTCGTATCACTTAAAGTAAAAGTATTACACAGACGTGCGGTCTATTGGTCGGAGTCTTTATATATATATATATATATATATATATATATATATATATATATATATATCATTGATAATTTCATTTCAGGTCCGTTTTCATGAATGAATCTCGAACCGTACAACAAGAACTGGCTCAACTTAATAATGGTCAAGCTGTTATGATAGAAATTGCTGATGATGTAATAGATACAAAAAAAAAAATCGAATATGGTAGGCATAATATTATACTTGAACTTGAGGACTTTGTAATCAGACAAAATCGCTTTATTAATGACGCAATTGACAATCATGTTCAATCAATTATGACAAGTTTGAGTCAAAGTCAAGATAGGATTTTGTCGAATGTAACGTCCACAGTCGAGCAAAAATTATCTCAGGTATAATTTTAGTTTTTCTTATCAATCAGATAATAATAGATAGCGACAAGAAAAAAGTGATTTGTACCTTTGGTCAGACCCACCTCGGGTTATGTATTTTGATGCACTGAATTCGAAATAAAGATCCGTTGGATTCGTATATCGTCAGAATTCTGGGTAAGTTGCAAGACACGGCCAAAAATGACTTAAATGAGAGGCCCATAATTCTTAAATTATGAGAGTCTTAGTTGATCGCGTACTATTCCCGATGATGTGAGTTTTATTGATTTACCTTGCCCAATACCGAGCGGCTTGTACCGGGAATGAATCCGATGTATGACCCGCGTGGCAATAGGGGATCTCTGATAAGTGTTAAAGAAAGGATGGGTGGGTTTGGTGAATTACAGGCACTCGTGATCACCTCGTTTTCATATAATTATTTTGAGAATTGAAGAAGTTGGAATAAATAACAGTGATATTCGTTGAGATAATTAATATATTGAAATTTTACTTACAATTAGATTTAAGAGTCAACTGCAATTCGATAATATAATGTTGAATACACTGAAGTTATACAATCTATCTTTTATCATCCTTATAAATATATGGTTGAGATTTTTTTACCAAGAGGTATCAATTAGCAAGATTACAATGCATATTGATCACTAATTCAACTAAGTCCAATCTGGGTGAACGGGTTACCGCACTAGTAGAAATTTATCTTTATGAAAAGTTAAAGTGTATTTGTTCGGTAAATAATATTGATATTATTTGTCTTTAAAAGATACTGAATTATTGGTACTGAGACCTGTAGAGATATATGCTCAAGACGAATTGACCACACTGACAATATTTATTATCTGGTAAGGGTTTATATTTTTTCGGGGGTTTTTAGTTGTTCATGCTCAATAAGCGTTGTCTTATTGATACCTCTTGACCTTGATTAGTTTCTTCAGAAATATGTTTTCGGTAGCTTAATTATTTTTATTACGCTATTTAATTTGTAGTAGAAGATGATAACATAATATCTATCGACGGCAAACTGTTTTATGGCTTTTTTATTGCCAATGGTAAATTAAATATTAAAAATAATATTTGGTGACAATCAGTGTGTACCGTATGTCACACCTCCGCTATTAGAGTTGTCTTCGCCTCTGAACACTCTCGGTTAAACTTGGTTTAGTAAAAATGATATAATTGGGGTTAACACGGATTATCACTCAATATTATTTTTTTGTGTTTGTGTTATAGTGATGTTATGTGTATAGTGGGTGTTTCAATATAAAACCAGAATTTCTTAAAGTGGTTGTTATTCTTTAATTTTCTTTCGAAGCAAATATGTCGTTATCAAGTGGTGTTGCTAGTGCGGGTTCTAGTGAGAGCTGGTCGACCAGGTCTATGGAAGATGATGGTTTCCTCGGGCTGACTCTCTGATTCGGGTAGTGAATTCTGTTTCTGATCCAGCAACTAGTGACGAGGAAACTCCATCAGTGTCGTCTATATCAGTCTATCAATTTCAAGAAGGATGGGTGAATTTGCCTATGGATCAGCTTCCCGGATCCCCTCCTTCTACGTCGCTTGCTTTTTCCGACTCTGGATCGGTCAGATATCGACCTTCGGAACCGACATCATCGATCGTGTAGCCATCTCCGCTGCATTTGTTTAGCGTACCATTTGGAGAAGCTGGCCCTTCCAATGGTGTGCCTTTGGTATCTGGAAGACCTAGCCAACTAACTAGGGTGTTGCCATTTTCAGGAATTTATGTTTGGCGGAGATATCCGTTGGTAGTATCTTTACCATCGAGACGGATCTTTTCAGCAGACAGCGTTGGATAGCTTACCTGACATGATCCAATCATCCCAACTTTGGCTCCTCTATCGACTTCGAAAGGATCCTGGATGTTGCACTCGGTTCCATGGAATATTTTGGGCCATAGTCCACATCAGAGTTTATTGACGGTGAGTAATGTTGATAATGTTCAAAAGATAGATGTTTTATTATCAGTTCATTTTTCCGTAGTTAATCGTTTGTTTATGCTCTCGCCACTCCATTGTACTGGAATGTGGAGCTTCAACCAGAATCCGTTGGTTATTTCGAGAGATACAAGGGAGTTGTTCGGTTCCAAATTTTTGTTTTTATTTTGGTGATATATATATATATATATATATATATATATGTAGGATTTATGGTTGGGGAAAATCACTACTTAATTAATAAACTCAAAAGAATTAAATACTAACGTGATATTTATTGACAACAAAATATGAGGAATAATTGTACAGAGCGAAAACGTGCGTGACGCAGTTCGGGTGCTCGAGACTGTAAGTATGTGTGTGTATGTGAGGCTCGAGCCGGCGGCTACACACGAGTCTCGCCGAAGTCACCCGAGTGAGACTCAAAATTTGGTGTAGCTGTCGCTACAATACTTTCCTTCTTAAAAAAAAATAATTTACTTATTTAACAATAGATATAATAAAATAAAATAACTGCTATTTACAAACGAAATAATACTGGTAATAAAAAAAAATTTTAAATATCGTCGGCGAGTTGATACGCTGGTTTTAGTCGGTCGACGGATATGGCTGTGTTTGCTCGTTTGTAGTTGACGACAAAATATTTTCCATGCCTTGACACGACTTCGAACGGACCCTAGTACGGTGCCGAGAAGGCTGGTTCAATTTGATCGTTGCGTACCAATACGTGGGTGCATGTAGCCAGGTCTCTGAAACAGAAAACAGACTTTATTCCATGACGCGCTGTGTCGGCCGGTGCGAAATTATGAAAATGTGCTCTCAGGTCTCGTAAAACGTTTTGAACGTCAGCGTGCCTATTTGATGGGACTATCAACTCACCGGGCAAGCGGATTGGCTCGCCGTATACCAGTTCAGCTGGTGTAGCTTGGATGTCCTCTTCCCAGGCCGCTCGTAGACCGAGGAGTACTGCGGGTAGTGCGTCGGACCATGTGTCGTTGTGACACAGCAGGGAGGCTTTGAGTTGCCCGTGCAGACGTTCTACCATTCTATTGGCTTGTGGATGACCTGGGGTTGTCCTCAAGTGTTTTATGCCGAAAAATCTCGTCATCGCTTGGAATAACGCAGACGTGAACTGCGTTCCTTGGTCTAAGGTGATCCTCAGTGGTACGCCGTATCTGGCTATCCAGTTCTGGATGAGTGCGAGTGCTACAGTGTCAGCGTCGCCGTTCTTCAGTGGGACAGCTTCCGGGAAACGTGTGAACCTGTCTATGATAGTGAGACACTTGGTGTATCTGTACGATAGTTTGCTACTGAAAACGATAAAAATACTGGGACTTGGATAATTTCGGTTGTTCAAATTATTTAACAACTTCGTTGTTATTAATCAAGTTTATTAATAACCATGTATATCACTAAATTAAATCTCACATAAATATTTATCAAAGTTAAATATATTTATTTTTTGTACGAGGCTAGAATCACAATAAATTAGCAAATAAGCGATAGATAATTGATTAAAGCTTGGTTAAGCACATGCAAGCTATGCGGTCGAGAAGCCAAGACTTCCAAGCAGCTGTAAGCAAGCCAAAAAGCACAGAATAATGAAACTGATTACTGCAGGATAATTGTGAATAATTACTGAAACAGATTTAGATCACGATTAATTAATAAAAATTAGATTAGATAC